TGCCATCAGCAAGAAACTGTGGCTCTGATTGTGTGAACCCAGAAAATAAGTGGTAAAAGCAACTATGTTTAGTCACTTTAGCTTGATATATGAGAACAATGAAGGGTGTGACTGCAACTGTAGACAGATTCATATACATTTTAAACATGCTTTTTAAGTTAAACTCAAAACAACCAACATTGCCATCACATTTTAACCGCTTCCTAAGGTGTCAAACAATATCTTTTGGCTTCATGTGTCTCTCCCCCTTCAGTTGTTTAGTCTATGAATACTGTAAGTCCTTAAATGTTGCTGGGAGACCTGTTGATATACTGAATGTAAAGAAACAAGATGCAGAAAGGTAAAGCCAACTGACAGACTAGGCCTGGACTGAACACAAACAACAGCTGCAGCTCCATGTGTAAGTATGGCTTTGACTCATTCAGAAGGCAGCTTCAGAAATCCGTGATGCCCAACTTTACATCCTGATGAGGTTTCTTGTTTCACTGTAGGTTCCACAGTTTCAGAAAACACAGTGTTTCGTAATTGAAACTGGGTCTACCAAGGATTGAATATGGAAGAAGTGCTGTTTCCTAACATTTTATTAGAATATTTTTATCCACCTTCACTCACTTTAATAACATAGCTTTGCATCTTTGTTGTTTAAGAAAACAACTGCATTTTATTCCTCCAGATGTGGATACTCCATGATGCAGATAACTGATCTCTGTGCCAGGATGTTGTGTGGTAATATCTAGAATAATCAAGTTGCAAATGCAAAAAATAAAAACATAGGCTAGTTGGACTTGTTTGTTTGCTGGTTATCAAAAATAGACAATTTATATATAAAGTCTTTCAGATAGTTCTCAGTTGTGATAAATAAAAGTCCTTGTTCTCTTAAGAGGAGGTTTGAACACACTGTAATGAATCATATCTGCATTTTTTATCACAGTCTGTTTATTCTTAGTTGTACACTGAGGCAGCCATGCACTACTGGTCAGTGTTCTGCCTTCACCACACATGGATCAGTCCAGATGGGGCTCAGTCGTAGAGATGCTCCATGACTGGTCAAACATTTCTGTGCATTTCACAGGAAAATATAACAGTTTTGGATGGATGAAAACAAAATAACTCTAATATGGTCAGGTAAAATCCTCCAAGCTTCAAGTAAAGGGCCATGGCAGGGGAAACTGAGGAATTTAAAACAATTGGATGAATTGTGCTTCCCTCTTTTACCTTTTGCTAGATGACTTTGTGCAGTCCCCAGTTCCAGATGTAAGTGGTGGGGCGATCATTTTATTTGGTTCTGTGTTGTCAGTTTTTAATGTTGACTATTATATTTATGGTTTTATATTGTTATGTTTGCCAGGTGTATGCAAAGCATGTAAGTCAACTTTTTGTTGTTTTTAAGTGCTATATAAATAAAAGGTTGAGATAGAAGTCTCCAAATTATTCCACTGGATGATCACAAGGTTTAGAATGACTGATCAAATATTTGTCTTATAATCCATCCTTCCTTTGATTTATAGTTTCCATCGGTATCTGACTATAAAAGGTCACTATGTCATAAGTATTTATTTTTAGTACTCCCTTCTCTTGCATGGCATCAGTGCAATATCAGAGTTGGAGCAGTGGATCGGTTTGATGCTTGGACCCTAAATTGGGAACATTGTGTGACATTTACTCTTCATTAGCCAAATGAAAGCCATTTTTTGGAAGTAATTGGTTTTATTTACTACATAAATGATGCCAAGGCCCTTTAAACTTTCACTTTGTGTTCTAGTTGTTATGGGTATTACATGCGTGTATCTGTGAGTAAGGGGGCACATGCATTTGTATTTGGGTTGGACTGATGTATCAGGTTGCAGGATAGAGCCTGCAAATGAAAATTGAATGGGAAACTGCTTTTTCATTATGAGTGAGTATCAGAAAGGTAAATATGAGCTTTATCTAGAGGAGAACAGGGGTTTAAAAATAACATCAATAAAACCTGACACACACACATGAGGAGAATATGTTTGGGTTTCACTGGAGTTAATGGTCTGCATGTTTTTTTCAGAAGCTTTTCTAGCTGATTAAGAACAAATCTGAGGAATGAAAACAGTCTTTGCAGCATGCTGTTAGATACAGTATGAAGCTGATGAAGCACTGGACTGCTAGAATAGTCCGTGAGTCATAACCTGAACGTGTACTTCATTTGTTAATGAAAAGTTATCTTCAGAGAGGACTTCAGAAATAATTGATATAGGTATTTGAGTATCACAGGCTATGTATAGACTAAGTTTTACGTCAGATTTCTTCAGCCTACAGTATAAAAGACTGTTGCTAGGATGCCTTTGTCATGTAATGCCAGTACCACAAATACTAATGCAGGACACGCTATTATTTTTAAAGCCATACTGATCAGACAAGCCAAGGGCAGGTTGGAATGCACTCAGTAGATTATAGAATGGTACATGTAGAGCATGAATGGGCCCATGAAACTGACATGGCAACCCTAATATTTGAGGCTTTTGATCATATCACACTGTCTTGACAAGAAGCTCTAAATCTCCAGAAAAAGTACAGAGTGGATATTGCAGAGAGATTTCTTTGTTGTTGTTCAATTAGGAATTGTCCTCTGAGGACCATGAATATGCAGTTGACATAACATTTCTAACTGGCCAGCGGATGTAAAAATGCCCATTTTGTATTTTAGTGTGATGGATGGGCAGACCAACTGACCAGCATCACACATTACAGAATGTATTGACATCTCGTTATTTTATTAATCAGTCAGTAGTTCTGTTTTATTACCTGTGCCAAGGAAGTTATGTTACATTTTTTTAAGGCAGAATATCTATCAACATATCACTGTCAGACTGCTTTCATTTTAATGTAAAAGCATCTGGTCATGGTGATTAAGATTTTAAATACTGGAATGTCAGACAGCTGCTTAATTCAAGAAATACTGGTAGTGGAAATCACCCAAATCTGTAAGTGGGGCAGCATGTGCCTTTTTCAGCAGGCAAAGGTCATCATGAAGTTAATGAGAAGAGATGTGGACATGCTGATAACTGTGCGGTGTGTGTGCCAAACTGCCAATAACATGGCAACACAGCTCTCCCTCCTTTTGTTGTGTCTTTGTCTTGAGCAGTATATGATTCAGAGGTGTGCTGCCGCTGAGCTATTTATAACAATTCCTGACAAATCCATAGAGTCAGGGGGAAGCAGTACGTGTTCTAGTCAGCCATGAAGCACGGCTGGCTTCTGAAGGAAAGAGACTAAAAACAGCAACACTACTCTAATGTCTCAGATATACAGCTACATATATGCGCCTCATGAATGCAAAAGTACAGACAGCATTTGGTACATCTCCAGTGTCTGAGATGCCCATGAGGTTTGGTGAATTAAGAAGTCAACATCCAGATCACAGAAGTTGTGTCTGTGTGTGTGTATGTGTCAACATCTTCTTTGATGTTACCTAACTTGGTGCAATGCAGGTTTTCAGATTTGCCTCCATGTCCTCATTTCTGGATGCTGACAGGAAAGGCGCTGCACTTTTATAGCTACATGTAGAATTTATTGACATGCTGCAAAGTGATTATAAAACAAGTTTTGTATAATAATAAATAGATTAAATACATGCATAAAACAAATGTGCTCTGCACAAGTGTTTGCAGGTCCTGTTTTGTTTTTTCTGTCTTTTTCAGTGTGTCAGTTATACACACTGAGGTAAAACTGTCAGATGTTTCAGAAAGTCATCAGATTCTTCATCTTGATTTCACCGTCCATTCACTCCAAGACCCAATTGTAGCTGTTTAGATAAATTAAGACACACTGTGTTCAGGCTGAATGAACAGCAATTCAGTTTTGGCAAGTTTGAGCATGTCCCTTTTGTCTCAATGGCCAAGTTGTTAGATTTGGAACTTGAATCACAAGACAGCAACTGTGGTCTTACACTTGTGTGTTTGCATGTGTGTATTTGTGCACACCCTGTGCTGAGAGCGGAAGATCAACGGCCTACAGAAGAATGTGTCAGACCATCTGATGTGTTTCCTCCATTAGCAACAACAGAAGGAGGAACTGCGGCTGAGTTTGGGTTTAGTCCTGTCCTCATAGCACTTTGTTGTGAACTGCTGGCTCAGGTAGATTTCAGGACAAACTTGTCAATAACACATTGTGTTTTCTGAGGAGTCACTAGCTGCTACTCTCAGAAACAGCAGCACCTACAAACACC